TAGTTTTTTTTTTCAGTATTCATGCCTAGAAAGCAGCAGTAATGATAACAAAGGCTTCGTATGCGTAAGCCTCTGGGGTTTGCGAGATTTCGCGAACGATCGGCGAGGGCCTCAAAGTCACCTGAGGCAACAACGAGATGTTCCTGCTGATTCCTTATGCGTGTAATTAAGTGCGGCATGTACGTGAATGTAACTTTCGCAGTCTTGCAATTGCACGTGCTCGTCATCACGAGCAAAGACATGGCTACAGTGTTCTAGGGAGTTGTAGAAGCAAAAGCGGCGCCCGCATACATGGGCGCGCGTGAAGACGGTCGACGTTGACGGCCGCGAGAGAGGAACGTGGCGCTGTACTTTCCAGCTTTAAGGGCGCATACACACTGAAAGCGGATCCGCGTTCGCAGCAAAGCGGTTGCGAACGCGGCTGCATAAAGATCCAGTACAATTGCACGCGCACTTTATGTCATTGAGTGCGCGTGCAATTGCACTGGATCTTTATACAACCGCGTTCGCAACCGCTTTGCGAACGCGGATCCGCTTCCAGTGTAAATGCGCCCTAAGAGAACTGGTGGCATGTGTGCGCGAAGTGAGGAAGAAGGAAGAAGATGGGTCATAATTGCCAGCGTCCTGTCACTGTTGGACGATCTAAGCGCTCGTGTGGGCTTTAACTATGTCATGACATCAAGGTTAAGCCAGGACCCTGTGGAGCACTTTTTCCGCATCTCCCGCCAGTCATCTGGATACAACAGGCACCGAACACCCACAGCAGTCCCTCGTTACTGTCAGCTGCCTGAGTTTATATAATCTGTGGGGATTCCTCTGGTCGCCCTTCCCCGGTGGCTGTGATAACGGCCGCGGGTCGGAACACTCGGCCTCCTTCGCCGTGAGCTCCGACCTGTTCGTGAGGCGGAAGGCCGCCTGGCTTGGGGGGATCTCCTCTCCTCTCTCTCTCTCTCTCTCTCTCTCGGCGGGACCGATTTCCGTTCCCCCGCTCGGATGCGGATCACTGCTGACAGGCGAGGAGGTTTCGCCTCTTGTTTTCCCGCTTTCGGGAAACGGACTCGTCCGGGTGACCGCGAAAGAGATCGGACGTGTGTCGGCGACTTCTCCGATGCTTCCCCGGTCTTGGCTCTCCCGAACCCCGCGTCTGGCCAGGTAATGACTTTTTCTTACCTCTCCGGCGCGGGGGGCATTTTGAATGGGGACACAGTAGTTCGTTTTAAGAGTATGTTAATAAATGCTCTTGGACTCTGTCCTTACTCTGGTACGTGTGTCTTCTCTTCCGCTATACTCGAGAGAGTGAGACAGGGTAGACGATCATTGGCACCGACGGAGGTAATACGATTAATCGAACCGACCCGCAGTAACGCAGCTTTAAACGTCGTCTACATTGCCGCGGAGATGTGGGGGCCGCGCTACTAGGTTTGACGCTTCCTTTATACTATCGCCGCTGTTGAGACAACCCTTTGGTTACTCTAGCGGGACCTGTGTTGATAGCAAGATCCTACAAATCTCGCTCGCGTCAGTGTTTAAAGAAAACCAGTTTTTAATGCCCTCCTTAAGCCAGACTTCCAACAACCGCCAAGGCACAGTGACAAACAACTCCTGATAGACCTCTTTTCCAGTGGTGACCTAAGCAATGTAGAGCGTGCTTTGCAACGTTTGGAGCTGATAACCACAAATCACACGTGATACGCATCTGCCAAGAAGTGATATCAAGTTACTTTACTACATCGCCGGCTACGTGGCTTGGAAATCAGTGCTTAAGACAGCTTGTGGTGACTGTAAGGAAATGCTGTTCATGCGAAGAGAGTAAGCTGGAAATGTTCGTATTGCAGCAGTCACAAAACTGCGAGACAATGGAGGCTGCTAGCTCTACACGTCTGGCTGCCTCTTCCGGTTTGTTTGGAACCTCAAGAATCTCTTCATCAGCTTTTTCAGCTCCCATAACCTGGTCAGAGAGAGCATCCTCGAAGTTCTATCTCTCTTGAGGTCAAGGCCGCAGAACTCTGTTGGCTTCCCGATTCGCAATGCAAGGTTGACGGATGAAATAATTGCATTTTACATGAGTACACGTCTGCATTTCTTTATGAAGTCAGCCAACAAAAGTCATCCTGCCAAACGCGAGGCAGCTAAGCATGCTAAGCTTAGCCGATGCACGTGACTGATCTTTCGTTGCAGACCATTGTCCGGCAGTTTGCAAGGAATTTTGTATATAGTAACAATCTTGCTTACTATGCTGTAAAATAATTTAAGTATATTGTAGTAGTTTTGCTAATATGTCGCTAAGTATCTCTCATTGCGCTTGCTGTGTGTGTCAATGAAGCGTCTTATCAATTTTGAAACTTCATGTGGACCAGAGGTTTACAATATACTTTTGCATATTAGGAGGCTGCCCAACTTTGTGTTCCTATTTCATTTTAATGCTTCAGGTACTCGCAATCAAGATGTTTTCTTTCTTCATAAAATGGCTTTTACAGAAGACATAATTTGCTATATGTTCGTCTGTGCGCCAGTTTCGTGGTACCTTCTTCGCCCTTTACAAACATGCGCTCTGCCTTGCACTTTCCACAACGCTAGTCCTTACATCAGCAACGCGATAACAAAAAGAATACATCATGCCGTTTATTGTTTCGCTGGTCATTGAAAAAGTGCGAGATTTATTTGTCCGTGTATTTTTCTTGCTATATCAGTATCACGTGGCTCGCGAGCAGAAGTCAAGCGTGTTGGAGCGCGTGCAGCCTACTGCATTACTGGTCAACAATATGTCGGTGCTCGATATTTATAAAAATAATCTTCCGTAAAACACGCGGACCCGTAAAGTGGAGGATAGCACACAATCTAGAGGCAATACTCCAAAAGCAGTACTAAAAAGTTTAGCAGCAATTGTTCTGCGTCGCGAAAAGCTCGAGCCCAATCTCAAAAGAAGGCGCCGAAAAGCGCAGACGACGGTATACGCCTCGCAAGTGGGCTCATTTTCGTCTTCTGCGCATGAGAAAGGAAGTAGCGGTGACGTCAGAACGCCGAGCCCTGATTGGCTGATCGCGACCCCCTATCTGAGCGTCGTCTGCCCCTTTGCAACGTCGTCTGCGTCTGTCTTACCTTTCCTGCGACTTTCGGAAGTGCAGTCTTTACGAGCGAGCTCGACTTCGCCTTTCACAGAGGGCAGACGAAATAACTCGAACCCAGGGATCCTGGGTTCGAGCCCCACCCCTGCCCGTTTCGATCTGGATGAGCATCGTACCGGCGTGCGGTCGTGTATCACTACTGCGTGATGCACGTTAAAGACCCCAGGCTAGCGGCTGTACCGCACTGGCTAAATTTCTCATCTACAGCTGGGAGACTCGTCGCCCCTGTGAGGCAGACCAAGTTCTAGGCTGTATAAACACACACACAACCCAATTTAACTCGAGCGGTACGTTGTTTTTGTCTAACAACTAGCAGACGCGCATCAAGGAGGGAATTCAAAGGACTCACTGGCGAGGTGTCCCGAGGCGCCGAGGTTTGTTTACTAAGAACAGGGAGTGAGCGTGTTAGTGTCCGCAAGTTCCCTCCTTTCGTGTGCGGCGAGACCCCTCATTCTTTAACGGCGTCGGCGGGTTGGCGCAGTTAACGTCGTCTGCTTTACGTCTGCTAGTCAAAGCGTTGGCTGCTTTACCTTTCCTGCGTCTGTCGGAGATTCACCGCTTTTTCACCGGCGAGAGTCACCGTTGCCTCGGGAAACAAGGAGATAACAAGAGGAAGAAATTGACCTCTTAATCCAAAACTGAGGTCAGCGATCAAAGTATAATACGGGAAGGGTTCACAAGGGTCGCGCGGGCATATTCCATTCAGCACACCAGCCGGTCGTGGGCAGACGGTCGCCGAGTCCCGGAGTGCCTGCTAGGCCTAACTGCCGTGCTCGCTTGGTCGCGTTCGGTGGAATCGTGGCCGTTGGAGCTTTTCCCGGGTGTTTGTGGATCCAGCGTTCTTGTTCGTCGTCGTCTGTTTCAAGTACTTTTTACTTTTTTCTTGTTGCTTGAAGGCGGGACGCGTGAGAAGCGTACGTAGAAAAATTAACGTCTGTGGGTCGTCGCGACCAACGGTGGTCGCGACCGCGACGCTGTCGGCCATGCTTATTTGATCGTAAGAAGTGCGTAAGACACAAGGGTAAGACAGCTTCAAAGCTGTCGTAGGATTTCGTCGTAACCTGCGCAAAACTTACGAAAATTTCGTTTCGTGAATACAAATATGTTCTTAAGTTATGGCTTACGCACATTTTTGGCGTAAGATCGTTTCGTGAATCTGGCCTCCGCACTTACGAAAGTCGCAGGAAATGTGAGACAGACGCAGACGACGTTGCAAAGGAGCAGACGACGCTGAGATAGGGGGGTCGCGATCAGCCAATCAGGGCTCGGCGTTCTGACGTCACCGCTACACCCTGCGCAAGAAGCAGACGAACTTGCCCTCCGCATACGACGGGGTGCGCTCTTAGGGCGCGGGGAAGCAGCGTCACCCCAGGTGGTCTACGAGCGGAATCTTCAGAAAGCAGCTACCGCTCTTGCCCCTAAAACTCTCTAGAATACTGTAGACATGGCGCTGGTTCGATTTCCCACTTGAAATCGCGTATGTAAAAACGTGTGCCCTCGAATTTTGACACCTTCACACTACGACGAGATTCACAGTCCCAAGCGCGGGCACAGATTGCATTGAACTGCATCAGAATTCAGCGAGGACTCGTGCTTAACAAATTCGCCGACAGACGCTGATCGCCGTGTTCGTGTCGTCGGAGTGTGATGACTTTTCGCAAAGAGGAAGTGAAAATGTTTTATCTAGTCCACCCTATGTAGCAACATAAGATTCGCAGTAGAAGCTCCGTATCCAGCTCGAGCGTTCCACCTTCGATGGCTCTTCAGCGCCTTCTGCGCATGCGCAACCAAAGCACGATGGAAGGCGATGAGCGCGTGGTGGAGGCAGAGCTGCGGATCATGCGTTGCTAGAGACTACAGGCGATGTATGCTCACCGGACGAGTACGAGATGCCGTAGACGACAGACTCGTTCCCCGCGAGCAGGACGCCCGCCCAGAGGTGGTACGCGGACACCTCGATGGTGTACGTGTTGAGCTCCTCGACGTCGGCGATGACCAGGGAGCGCAGCATGCGCGATCCGACGCGCAGGAGCTCGCCGTCCTCGTAGAAGGTGTGCCACTTGACCAGGTAGCCGTCCACGGGGCCGCGCGTCTCCTTGGGAGACGCCCAGGTCAGCGTGAGCGCCGACGAGTTGAAAGGAAGCACCCTGGCCTCCTGGGGGGCGCTGGGGACTGCAGTAAAACTCGAGCAAATGAACACGTATCATCGTGGACACTGTGACGCGTTGTGACGCGCGAGCTGTGGCAGTTTCGTACTCCCAGCGGTGCAGTTTCTGCACCCTCTTATTGGCTACACGAGCACTTTCATTGTGATTTGTTCATAAGCAGTATTCATTAGCATGTATTATGTCACGACACATTATTCGTCTTTTTCAGCAAACGAGAAGCACAAGTCGTGGCAGGCGGAGTGACATTATGCTCAAGTTACGCACTATTTTGTCGGTTTGGCGTGTTCTTCTAACTTATATACCCAGTTTAAGCTTCAGTTCAAGCGCATCCCACGAAAGTAATGAGGTAAGTAAATCAAACCGCGACAAGAGGACAGTGTCACGAAATTTGCCATCGTTTTGTGTGTGTGCTATCATCGGTTAAACAAATCAACCGCAGTGCACTGTGACCTTGCGCTTTTAGTATTTCTGTGTAACGTTGTGTAGCCTCCACTACAGTCAGAGAACGTCTTTATTGAAAATAACTGAGCCCGGCCAGGGCGTTCCTCAGCAATAAATCAGGGGATCGAGGAGGGGGGGGGGGGGGGGGGGGGGGGATGACATGACTAATCCCTCAGCTTCGAATACCCGTTTGACATGGGCAAACAGCGTTTCAGAGAATTGGTTCACGTGATCGGGTGGAGGAGGCCACTTCCACCACGATCACGGGGGTTGGGAAAGGACGTACTAGGACCAAGAAGGCGTGGAACAGCACCAGCAGTAAAAGCATGTTCAATACCTGCCGTCGCAAGAACAAAATAATTTCAAAGAAAATATGCAACTCACATCCCGGTGGTGACCGGTAGGTCGTGTACAAGAGGATCTTGTCTGAGGCGTCGGTGACCTCGACGCTGAACACGGTCCACGGGTTTTTACTGGCGATGATCTGCTCGCTGCCGCGCATCAGCCACTTCTCGCACAGCCCGACGTCGACGGAGCAGTGCTTGATGGTCCACGCGTCTGAAGGCAGGCTCAGACTAGTCCAGGAAAGCCTCACGGACTGCCAGTCGGAAGTATTCAGGTAGAAGACGACACCTGCCAGAGCACATCTTTGAAAAGTTGCTGAACCCGAAGGTAGCATCTGAGACTAGTACAAACCCATTTAGTTACGCTGGATGCATTTGCATTTCTGATGACCATTTAAAGGGTAATTTCGGGCTTTAGATAACATATTTTAAGACAACTGAAAACTACGGGAAACAAAGAGGACAGGCTGTAATTGTGATAATCTAGATGGGGAAGTACGTAGCGCCAGCTTCAATTCTAGAGCGTGGAAGCTATGTGGTGTAATTAAACAGCGACCGATCTTCGTCTCTCATATGTCATAAGCCAGAATATCTTTTTTTTAAATCATGTGCACACCACGTTGCAACTTTATACCGATCGCCAACTTTGGTCGCCAAATAGTTGCCAAAAAGTGTGAGCATACAAAAAAAGAAAGACGTTTACAATTCTCTGTAATGCCGAATTAGAGAGCAGCTCTTGATGAGGAGGAGACGAGGGTACGGAGGGGAGGGTGTGCCCCTCCTCCCCTTCTCATTCTCCGTTCTGCTCCCCTCCCAATTAGCGGAACATTTCCGCTAGATTTCCCGCAAAATTTAGCGGGGAATTTTTCACGCTTAGTTTAGCGGGGAATTTTTTCCGCAACATTTAGCCGGAAATTTTTTCTGTTAGATTTAGCGGGGAAATCTTTTTTCTATATTTAGCGGGAAAATTTTCCCGCTAAATTTAGAGGGTTTGGTGTTTTATGTAGCGTTGCAGGTAATCTTCATTATAGAGGTAGTGATTAATACTTCGCGTAGGTGAAGTGAAGATACTGTCACGGATGGCAGGCGACGAAGAAGTTAATAAATGAAAAGAAAAAAGGTTCATTGTGTCAAAATCGTGCCAAAAATAGTCGCGGGCGTCTCCAAGTAGCAACCGAATTGAGCGCGGTTATTTTTAATCAGCACCAACTCGCCAAACTCCCTACCTAATTCTACAGGGTGATACAAGGAGACGCCAGGCTCTTTAAATCGACCGGAAAATTCGGTTTCTTAACCTATCGCGCTACGAATTTGTGCAGAGTTGCTCACAGATGGTGCATTTTCTTTGTAAAATTTCCGAAGAGCGAACTTACTTGAGGAAAAAGTAAAGAAAGAAAAAGGCTTAGCCCCTATGGAAACGCAGCGACGCCACCGGTCTTCAAACAACACGGCGCCAATTCGCACGGAAGAGAAGAGATGGCGCAACGAACGCCGCCAATGGACGAGCATACGGCGCCGAGAACCAGCGTCTTTAGCAGACAATCTTTTCGACTCAAAAGCGGCGCGCGTTCCGCAGGCGGCGACAGTCGCAGAAACAAAAACAGGCGCGGTAACAACAAGGAACTGCAGTTCCTTGTATGCTAAATACGCCGGCTCTCGGCGTCATATGCTCGTTCGTTGGCGGCAGTTGGCGTCGCGACCGCTTGCGCCATCTCTTGTCTCCCGTGCGAAACGGCGCCGTGTTGTTTGAAGACGGGTGGCGTCGCTGCGTTTCCATAGGAGCTAAGCCTTTTTCTTTCTTTACTTTTTCCTCACGTAAGTTCGCTCTTTGCAAATTTTACCAAAAAAAAATGCACCACCCGCGGGCAACGCTGCACAAAGTCGTAGCGCGATAGGTTAAGAAACCGAATTTTGCGGTCGATTTAAAAAGCCTGGCGTCTCCTTGAATCACCCAGTAAGTATAAGTTGAAAAATAACACTCAAACCTGGGGGATTTCAACTTCGGTCTTCATTTCGTGCGGTAGACGCGTGCACTGTCAGCCAGGACAGGCATACCGCAATAATCTTGAGACCTTTAAATTTCGAATTATTGCAACCAACTTTCCGCAATTCTTCAAAGTTGCACTCTAAAAAAAGCCCGTGAATCTGCTTTCCCGCACAACACTGGGAGAGCCAATCACCGCAACTTACGGAGGCAGCTCAGCGAATGACAATGCCAAAACATAAGTTTAGACCGAAAAACGCAGTCTGAGTTGTGACATTAAGCAATGCAAGCGTGACGTTTTGCATTGCTTAATGTCACAACTCAGACTTCGTTTTTCGGTCTAAACATATGTTTCGGCATTGTCATTCGCTGAGCTGCCTCCGTAAGTTGCGGTGATTGGCTCTCCGAGTGTTGCGCGTGAAAGTAGACGCACAAACATTTTTTAGAGTGTGGGAGAACCGGGAAGGTTAGACGTTCTGCATAATCCTAAACTCTGTTCCACATTAAGGCCAACCGAAGTCGACACCACGATCCGACGGAGTCAATCAAGCTCAAGTCCCTCGATGCTTCTTTTTACGAGTAACGACAGATAAACAAATGACGAAGCACATTCCGTGGCAACAAAATAGCATCATTCAGTTCACTCTACTTCTGCTCTGCTCCGCCATTCGCTTCAAAGAATGTCGATACTTGTATAAAAAAAACTCTTATCTAGGAAGTTTAAATCAAGCAGCGCCAAAAGTGCATTGTCACGGCGCTCTTTGCATTCGTGGGTTTTATATCGCCGGCTCAACCAATCATGGACATTCATGGACCGGAAAAGCGCACACTCTAAAAAAAAGCCCGTTCGTCTGCTTTTCCGCATAACACTCGGAGAGCCAATCACCGTAACTTCCGGAGGCAGCTCAGCGAATGACTATGCCGAAACATATGTTCAGACCAAAAAAACGCAGTCCGAGTCGTGGCATTAAACAATGCAAAACGTCACGCTTGCATTGGTTAACGTCACAACTCAAACTGCGTTTTTTTTTTCTTTTTTTTTTAACATATGTTTCGGCATCGTCATTCGCTGAGCTGCCTCCGTAAGTTGCGGTGATTGGCTCTCCGAGTGTTGCGCGAAAAAGCAGGCGCCGGCCTTTTTTTAGAGTGCAGGCTCATAAGGCATTCACTGTGCGTGATTAGATTGGTCGGTGATTACAAACGCACAAGGATGATGAGCGCAATGACGTTGCACACTTGGTGCTTTTTGATTGGCTGATAGCGTTAGCTGCGGTTGGACTTGAAGGGAAGCTAAGGTTATCTTGGAGAGGAATCTCCTGAAGCTTCAAGGCAGCAGCCGACGTTTCTCCAAATAACAACAACCGATCGTGTGGGCGAGTACAATGTTACTTGCAATACCAACCATATATATATTGTGAGGGTCAAAATATAGGTGTATTTAATGAGAGGATGTATAAATACGATGCTGTGCAACCGTTATCATTGTCCTTCGGGGAACAGACTGCGCGCGCCCCATGCACCTGCGTGAGACTTCTTCTTTGTCCTCCATTTTTTTCCCAACAATATATATCTGGGGTGGCCAAGCTGCGGCTCGCTAGCCGCATGCGGCTCTTTGCGTGTTGAAGTGCGGCTCGCGGCTCCCTCCCCTACCCCCCACTTCCCCGCCTCCCTCCCGGTCACACGAGCACTTCCCCAAAAAAGAGAAATAGAACGCGTTTTAAATCGGAAAACAGGTTGCGGTTTGGTAGTCCTTATGTACAGTTATGTACTGTACCTTATGTACAGTTGAACTTCTTTTGACTCAGATAAATTGAAAGCAGTTCAAGTTTCGTTTATGGCTCCAGACAGAAGTTCGCCTCCCCCCCCCCCCCCCCCCCCCTCGGCCCCTGGAAGTTTCATGGTTTCGTTTGTGGCTCTTAGACTGGATCATCCTGGCTAACCCTGATATATATATGGTTTTATGGCTGGGTAATTTGATGCAGAAGTAATCGCGGCGCCAAAACCGCCCCTACATACGACTGTAATTTTTTTTGACCGGCTGCGCAGGACGTCGTCCCTAGTGGATCCCTGATTAAGCGACAAACACGCTGAAGTTCCACGAAAGCGTCGCTGCGTGGATTCGCTAGTCATGAGGCTTGTGAAGGAAAGGCCTCTTCTTCAAGGTGGGCCGAGGCACTCACCTTCCGGAGGCGTGAGGGCCGCAAGGTGCGCCTCGGGTCCTTCGAAGGAGATGCCGTCCAGCACGTTCTTGGCGCGCACGCGGAACTTGTAGTGCGTCGACGCCTGCACGTCGGACAGGACCACGTGCCGGGCGAGGCGAGACACGGCCAGTGTGCTGCAGGACGACGAGCACCAGGTCACGTCGTACGCGTCCACGGGGCCCCTGGGGTCGGCCGGAGGGGACCAGGACAACCGCGCCTCCCCTCGGCCCAGCTGGACAGCGTGGAAGCCCTGCGGCTCGCTGGGCACTGCGCCGGCCCGGCGCCCACCCGTTCCACTCAGATTAGCCACTATTGCTGGCGTGATTTTGTGCAATGCTTGACACTGTTAGCACGAACGTGGCTTTGGCCTTTCCTTTCGTATTCTATTTCGAAAGGGTGCCAGTGGGCATCCAAATGTACCACTTATAGTTAGTACCCTAACTGAGCACTTTCCATCACTATAGTAGTGTTGATGACAGCCTTCAGCAGTGAGGGAAAAATACAAATAAAACCGGTGACGGCTTGTTCGCGCTAACAGTGTCGCGAGGTGTGCGTGTTTCCTGAGGACGAGAGCACACTCAGCATCATCATGTAAGGGTATGCTTCAGAGACTAAATTTGTTTTTAGTTGTGTCTCGCTGGGCAAAAACAGCCCGAAATTCCTCTTCGCGTAGGGGAGAGGGAATGGTCACGTGTGTGACGAACGCGATCGAGCTCCGCTTACGGAGCTGTTGCTTGCTCTACTGCCGTGGTACCGGTGGTGGAGACCTGAGTCACTTGACGACATCTAGGCCTAATTTCTTCGTTCGTTGGAGTGCGTTTTAGTCGTCGACAAAAAACAACGTGCCATCCGAGGTATTCTCTCTCCCCTTTCTCGAAGGTTAAGTCCTCGTTCGTAAAGAATCCGGTGGAGTTCCGAGAGCCGTGGGAAATGTAAGACAGTGATTGCTACGATTACTAGCAGACGACGCCGGCCTTCAGCTCCGATCGCCGGACCCTTCAGAGCCACTGTTCACTCTGCGCGAAGAGCGGGAACAGTCTTGCTCACTCTGGAGGGAAGCTGTGGGTAGAAACAAAGGCGGCTAGCCTTTGTTTCTACCCCCCCAACTTCCGCTTTAATCCCCAATTAGAGCTCAGCACTTTGACGTCACTGCACTCGCTGCGCAGGATGCAGACGAACTTGCTCTCCGCATCTACGATTGAGGCTCAGCTATCGGGGATAAAAAAAAAAGCGCCTCGTGTTTCAGTGCATGAGCCGCTCACTCTGGGGCCTGGTCCTAACACGTGTGCGGAAGAGCAGGCGGTCGGCGCGCGTCTGGTCCACCACGGCAATGTCGTAGACTATCCAGGCTTCCAGGTGGCTAATGACCACGCCCCCCACGCCCGAGCTCTTGTTCATGCAGGTGCCCAGGGAGCCCGTCCAGCAGCACCAGGTCACCTCATAGTGGCGCTCTGGCATCGCCCCGGGCAGCGTCCACAACACCAGGGCGCGGTTGGGCTCGATGAGGTCGACCGTGAACTTCCAGCCTGTAGCGAGCGGGAAGTCCGATGGATCATCGCGAGTTTCGCAATGATCTGCAACACTATTATTAATGCGAATAGTTTTTACAACACAGTTATAAAACCCAAAGACAAGAGAGAGAAAACCGCAACAAAGAAAATGAAAAAGGGACCAACTAACGACCTTTCTTTTATTATTGTTGTTTTCACCTCGGGGTCATATAAGTATGACTGTTCTCCAGCTAGTCTGCGTAACTACCCTTATAAATACGAAGGCATTAACTGCCCTATGGAGCGGAGCCGGCGTTGTCTGTAGCAGCGAGAAACGGCACCTAAATTCCGATTGGATGAGCGAAACGGCACCTAAATTCCCATTTGCTGCAACGCCTCATGTAGCTCCATAGCAACGGCGTCATCGTTGTAATGAGCCAACCGAACTGCTGGCGGCGCAGTGGGAGAGGGGGGGGGGGGGGACGCGGGTATGCGCTAGCCTGGCGTCAGGCCTAACGTTAGGCCTATCGTTACGTTTTGAGGTCTAACGTCGTCAACCGGTACGCGTAGCTGATTGACATGAGGGGGGGGACGCGGGTATGCGCTGGCCTGTCGTTAGACTTAACGTAAAGCCTAACGTTACGCTTTGAGGTGCTACGTCGTCGACCGTTACCCGCAGCTAGGGCGATGATGAATGTCAAAGGACATGTGATTTCAGCACGCGAGCTTCGCACTCCCGTCGCTGCCTCCCCCAGCGGCCCAGCAGTCACCAGCGAGCCAGGGCGGTCTGCGCGGCGTACCGCCGCACTCTTTGCCGGCGCTACGGCCGCTTCTGCTACTCTCGGCGCCGAGAATGCGTTCGCATTCACAACTCATAAGAAGTGCGCTATAGCTGTCCTCGGAAATTTTCACTCTACACTGTTTCAGATTAAGTCCGGCAGAAGCCAGCGCTACGATCCGCATGGAGCCAATCACTCAGCGCCAAAAGTTCATCGTCTCGACGCTCGCCGTCTTTGCGCGTTTGCTGTGAACGGCTCAACCAATCACGCACAGCAAGTGCGGCGTGATCTTGCGCGGTTTTGGACGTGCCAGAGATTGACCTTACTGGTGATAGCAAACGCTCAATAGTGGGCGGGTATCATGACGAGGCACTTTTGACGCTGCTTCAATGGATCCATAAAATCGTCGGCGGCGGTCTCAACCTAACATTTCACTACGCGCTGTTTGACTGCGCGAAACTGGAGTAAGTGCTCAATCATTCTCCAAAAGTGAGTCTTTTTTTTTTTTCTTAATATTTTTCTGCGTATAGTTCAAAGATAGATGCAAGTGGCTGTCCGTGCATCTGCCCCCCTACAGCTCAGCAGTGCAACGTCACAACATAACAAAAGACAACAAATACACTATGAATATACGTTGCGGTCAGCCAAAGTAACAAAAAAACAAGTCAAATATGTTGCTGTTCATTAATCTAATAATGATTGAGTATAAAATCACGGATATCACAAAAATAATTGAAATAAAGGAAAAGCCCATTGAACAATGAAACTGTCGGCGGTGTTCGAAGTTACCGGGAAGGAATTTGAGACGTCCGGCCCGGAGCTTAGGCGAAAAGGCATCTCTTCTTCTTTTTATTGTTGTCGCACCGGCCCCCGAGATCCACTGAGCGAGCCAGAGCGAGAGTCTGCACGAGCAACTCGCGCTCGCTGTGCTCGGTTCTGTGGCGCACCCATTGTTTTCATTCAGAGCGCGAAGTATTTCTTTTTGTGTGAGTCAGGTATTCAAAGCTATGACTCTACAGAATCCCCCCCCCCCCCCCCCCTCCCTAGTGGCGTGGAGCAGAAAGTTTTGTTGAGCTCCACGTAACGATTTTGTTGGGCGGGTGTGGAGGACGGGCGGTGGAGGTGGTGTTTGTTGCACTAGGTGGTGGAACGGGCATAATGACGGGTGCTGTCACAGTAGAGGCCAAGTATGCTGGCTTGACTCTGTCCAGCGTGATGACGTCGTGGCGCCCGTTGATGTCGATGGTGCAGGTCTTGTCCGTTCGCGAAAGTACCTCAAATGGACCACCATACGGTGGCGTGAGAGGTGGTCGTACTGCGTCTCTTCTTACGAATACATGTTTGCATGTATTGAGATCGTCACTATTAAATATGTGCCGAGAGTTTGAGTGTCCAGGTGAGACTGGACGCAGGGAATTGAAAAATGTCTTCATGTCCTGAAAATATGATGGGATGTCCGTTGGTTCAGAGGGTATGCAGGTTAGAAATTCTACAGGTAATTAAAGTGTGGTTCCATAAACGAGTTCAGCTGAGGTGCAGTCGATGTCGGCTTTAAAAGTGGCACGAATTTTAAGAAGGACAAGAGGAAGGTGACTAACCCAATGGGTTCGATCTTCTTTTTTCATTAGCGCTGCTTTGAGCTGTCGATGCAGCCTTTCAACCACGCCATTGGCAGCAGGATGATAGGCTGTTGTGTGCACGTGTCTGACACCCAATATCTTGGTGAGGGCTGTGAAGAAGGCGCTTTGGAATTGTCGGCCTCGGTCGGCTGTAATGGTCGACGGACAGCCGAAACGCGCGATCCAGATGGAGAGGAAGGCGTGAGCGACTGTTTCCGCTGTGATGTCCGCGAGCGGAACGGCCTCTGGCCATCGTGTAAATCTGTCCACACATGTGAGTATGTATCGAAATCCGTTTGATGATGGTAGGGGGCCTACTATGTCAATGTGTACATGGTCGAATCTGGCATCCGGTGGACGAAATGCGTGCATTGGTGTTTTTGTGTGGCGAAACACTTTAGATCGTTGACATTTGTTGCATGTTTTCGTCCACAGACGGATGTCAGAGTTCATTCGGGGCCAGGCGTACCTTGACGTAACGAAACGCTGCGTAGCACGGATACCGGGATGATTTAGGTCATGGATAGTGTGGAAGATGGCTTGCCGAAATTTTTCTGGAATGTAGGGTCGTGGTGTGGAGGTAGATATATCGCAGATGATCTCGCAGGTGGCCAGTGGTAATCTGACGGGCTGTAGTTGAAGGGATGTGGAAGATACCCGTAGATCTTGTAGCTCGGTGTCTTCCTGTTGTGCCAAGGCCAATTCCGGGAAATTGACAACAGGAGATGAGGAGATGGCGTCAATGCAAGAAAGTGCATCTGCTGGCATGTTTTGGGATCCAGCGACATGGCGGAGATCGGTAGTGAATTCTGATATGTAGGCCAGGTGACGAATTTCTCTGGTGGAGTAGGAGTGGTGATTGCCGACGAATGCGTAGACCAGTAGCTTGTGGTCGGTGAGCACGTGGAAAGCCCGGCCTTCTAAGAAGTACCGGAAGTGGCGGATGGTCGCGTAGATTGCGAATAGCTCACGTCCAAACGTGCTGCACCGTGTTTCCGCTGGGTTGAGTTTTTGTGAAAAGAAACCCAGTGGGAGCCCCTGATCATCGCCGTATTGCTGAAGCACTGCTCCTACAGCGACATCGGACGCGTCGACCATGACGCGCGTCGGAGCGTCTGGCATGGGGTGCACAAGTAGTGTGGCCTCAGCCAGGGCATTTTTGACAGCGGTGAAGGCAACCTCCGCATCTCGCGTCCATGGTATTTGCGTCGAAGATTTCTTGGGTCCGCGGAGCAAGTCGGTAAAGGGCTTGATGGTCTGTGCACAGTGTGGAATGAAGCGCCTGTGAAAGTTGATGAGCCCTAGGAACTCCCGCAGCTTGCGTAGAGATTGCGGTTGCGGGTAGTCACGAATGACTTGCACCTTGGAATGAAGGGGTTCGATGCCTGCGGTTGTGATGCGGTGCCCCAGAAAGTCTAAGGACGTCACGCCAAAAACGCACTTCGTCACATTAGTGGTGAGACCGTAGTCGCGGAGTCGTTCGAAGAGCAAGCGCAGGTGTGTGCTGTGTTCTTCGTGTGACTTGCTCGCCACCAGCAGGTCATCCACGTAAGCAACAACGAAAGGTAACCCAGATAGAACTTCGTGGATGAACCGCTGAAATGTCTGGGCGGAATTTCGCAATCCGAAAGGCGTCCGGATGTACTCGAATAGGCCGAAGGGAGTAGTGATGGCCGTCTTCGGGATTGGAATGTGATGGTACGCCTTGACTTAACCGATCTTGCTGCAGATGGACGTTCCAGCAAGATGTTCAGTAAAGTCATGGACATGGGGTAGTGGGTACCGGTCAGGTTGGGTTTGTGAGTTGAGTGCCCGGTAATCCCCGCAGGGTCTCCAGTCGCCCGGATCTTTCTTGGGCACCATGTGTAAAGGCGTTGCCCAAGCGCTGTTGGATGGCCGGATGATGCCTAACTCGAGCATATGCTAGAATTCTTGGCGGGCTATCCTGAGGCGTTCACCAGATAGGCGTCGAGGGCGTGCAAAGGTAGGCGGGCCAGGGGTGATGATGTGGTGCGTCACCCCATGTGGCGGGGGCTTTGCCATGTTGGAGGTATTGGTAATTTCTGGGAATGCGCCTAGGATGTTTGCAAATCCTGAAGCTGGGAGGATGTTTCTGATCCCAAGGGATGTCTGGTTTGTGGCTACGCCATTTACAACGAGACGAGTCTTGTCAAAGAGACATCGGTGGTGCACGCTGACGTCTAGGTCGAAGTGCGACAAGAAGTCTGAACCTAGGAGAGGGTACGTAACGTCGGCGATGGTGAAGATCCACCGAAAAATTCTGCGTAGCCCCTAGTCCAAGGTCACAGAGCGCATTCCGTAGGTAGGGATGTTTGAGCCATTTGTTGCAACTAGATGGCGGCCGGGTAATGGGTGTCGTTTTTGAGCTGGCGTTGGCTGAAGGATGGACATTTCCGCTCCGGTGTCAACTAGCAAGCGTATTCCTGAGATTTTCTTGGTGATGAAAAAGAGACGGCTTGCTGTTGGGCCAACGTCACTCGCCGCCTCTAGTGACTGGCCGGGGCGTTTCCCTGCCAATTGCATGGCTGTTGGCACTTCAAAGCTCGGTTGCCAAATTTCTGGAGGTACCAGCAGGAATCGCTAGCGCGTTATTGCGAAGAATCGCGCCGTCGAGGAG